CTATGATATAAATACATGTGCTTGTTTTTGCATATGGCTCCAAGTCCCTTTTCCCCCTAACCTGATAGCAGCTTTCCTTCCCGCACTAATCGTGCAGTGGGGGACGGATGCATGTGCCCTGTCATCGAGCGTCTTCCCATGCACAAGGAAGTTGATGGGAAGCAGGGAACTTCCTCCTCAAGGACTTCATCTCGGGTTACATGTGCCTGGAGGCCCCCTACCAACACGTGCACCATTCCACTCTTCTTCCTTTCCGCCCTCCCTCGCTCTTCCATGAACGCACGCACACACCACGATGGACACATGCATAAACAGAGCAGTAACTCCTTGGGACGAATAGGAGGAAGTAGGCCACGCGGTACGCGTAGATCCACGAGGTGCGGGTTGGGTGGGATAGGGTATGGAGCTCATCCGCTCTACTTTCCTTCTCGTTCAGCATCCAGCACAAACCTTCCACGAAGGGAAATACCTGACAGAGGCTGATGGGAGGAAACTCGAGGCTATCTTCACCAAGCCGCAGTTCCTCGCCTCTTAGACCTTCCTTCAGCTCTTCCATTTGCCCGACATTATACATTATGTTGAAGGACATTATATAGAAGGAAAAGAGCTTCCATCCTCTTAGCCAGGGGATTCCAAGGATCCAAACCCTTTCCCCCTCTCTTCTTCGCTAGGTTAACTATACTTCCACCATTTTTTACTTTCCTTACCTCTCCTATAGTTCGCGGCATACATCTCCGAAAGGATCAATAAGTTCTTTGGGTGAGGAAAGACGTCGCCAGTGGGGGCGCTACTCACGGAATCCTCTCCTCTTCGCTAGAACGTAGGAAACGAGTTGGTTTGACACGTACCCCACATTCAAGTCCTGGCCCCCAGACGCCGGAAATATCTAACATGGAATGATTCTGCTTCTCGCAAATCCTTTGACCTTCACATGGTCCATGAATAGCTTTCATTTTGAGAAGGTAGTTGTTTGCATGATACTGCTGAACGCAGACTATGCCTGGGGAGAATGAGGGAGCGGAAATCGCCTGAGCCAGGAGGGAATGATGGAAGGAGGGAAGGAGTCTGGAGAACTGGGAGGAAATCGTCGGGATCCTTCTCTTTGAACGAGAACGAGGGAGTCTAAATGGAGGGAGGAGATGTGCTTCATAGAGAATCTTCCTCGATCGAAAAGGAATGCCTCATCCCCTTTTTTATATATTCAACGAGCGATGAAGCCCACCAATGTGAAGGGGGGGAAAATGGGAATATAATCAGTTTTCATCCCTGTAACTCCTCCTTACTTCTATTCGTTTCGCAATACTTTTTTCTTCTTACCTTTTCCTGGGACTTGTTTCTCGCCTTAGCCAAACCAAAGCCGAGACCTACACCAAGATACTTAGAGTGGATTTTTGAACAGAGCACTATCCGATAATATAGGTTTTTTTTTATTTACCGGAAATGTGGGGAAATGTTGGTCAAAAATCCACTCGTATTCTCCTTTAAATAAAGCTGCATTATTGGATACATCTCTGTTCAAAAATCCACCCTTAAATTCATCATAAAATAAAATACAGAGTAGCTAAGTCTATTTCTCGTCAGTGCTAAAAGGTAGAACGGAATCTAAATGTGCTTTTAGATTAGATTTGGGCTAATTAGGTTCAGATTCAAAAGCGGCCTAAAAGGAAAGTTTGTTTCTCATCCAAGTTATACATATATATATATACTCATGCAGACTTCGTATAATAGGAGGAATGCTTTTAGACAGCTCAGACCCAGGTTAAATGCTGTCTACAATTTTTAAGGTGAAAGAAAGGAATGTCCTGCGCGAAGCATTTTCTAGGATGCGTGAACCGGTAATTTGATGATGTTTGGGTTAAAAAAGAGAATCACCAACCTGGCAGGCAATGGCCAATGATCTTTGTTTTCTTGTCCTTCTAGCTCCCAGAAGCATATATTAGCATATTTTTTTATAATGAGGCTTCATTTCAACATCTAACACAACATTCAGGCTGCCCCAGAATTTCATCTTGAGCATGGCGTAGACTTTTCATGTTTATTCCTTTAGATTACAGTTGTGGCTAAAAAAAAAAATATCGCATCGACATGAATTTCACATCATTTTGACTCAGGCAGTTAATAAAATGCATAAAATTGTGCATGATATGACAACATAAGGATTATTTATTACTTCAGTAATTATCTACCAATAACGTGATCATATCTGAAAAATATGAGCCAATTTAAAAAAATCAAATTATAATTGTGGGTAGTCACTTAAAAAAAACTGTGAATGGTGTTATTTTATGAAGTCATGTCATGCAGGCCATAGGAGGAATATCAAAATATCACATGGACATGAACACGCATTGCACATTTGCGGTAATCAATGAGTTTCGATAATCAATGAAATTCAGAACTAAAGCGTGTTAGCACTTGGCTTTAAAATGAATATCAATGCCAAATTTTCTTAAATAAACCTATGAAGAACTTAGCAAAACCATTAATTTTCAAAATGATATCAATACCTAAATAACAAGCAATGCCAATAAGAACTAGTAAAATATCGATATAAACTACGTATAATCATAATTGCGATGCATTCTTGCAAATTTCGTGAGCAAAGTAAGAAGTAACCAAAGTAAAATCACGTTTGAAATTCCAGAGTGATGCAATAATTTTGCAAAACACTGTAGATTCACATTGGCCCTTTAACACAGCTGAGACACAGACTTTTCGCCCTGCTTTAAAATTATATTTAGTTTGGATTTAGCTTTCGTCTAGGCGAAGAACAAGCCTCTGGGAGCAAGAGGTGCCGATGGATGAAGTTCGTTTCAACACAAATTGGTATTGTTTAACCTTTTTTCTCCTAGAACGCTCTACAGTGAATACGTTCTCTTCATGATTTGAACAAAGCTTGTTACATCAAATTGGACTCTGCTGGGACGTCTGTCTCCAAATCATCGTGAAAGTATGAACGACATCTTTCTAGAAGACATGATAGGAGGATTATCTACATCACGATTCGTGGACTCTATTGCCTTTACCCACGCACCCTCGAAAGCATTTGTCTTGCGACATCCCAGAGGGAACTGGTTGGAGATGGAACCCGGTTGCAGACGATTCCCATATATATTTGTACATTCTCCCCCTTTGTGCGATCGAGACGGAAGGAGGCACGGAACGAAGAGCGTCGGATTGGCATGTGTCCTTCCCGTCGGCATCTGGTCTTCACTCGTTCCCGCGCGTCACACCTAATTATCCGCTTGTTAACTGGAAGGAACGATGTGGAGATTGACGGCACCCCTTCTCTCGTGTTTAACTCCTCCACGCATGCTTCTGTCTTAGGATCTCATTTTCTCGCGTTCACTAACAAATTTCCTTATCACCCAATACATCGTGGAGGGAGAGAATAACTACAAGAGGGATGACATAGACCACGGACGGAGATGAATAGATGAGAGCATTCCTTCCTGAGGTTCTTTCGGGCAGAGAAGCGTTGGGATCGGCATCCTGTTGACAGGCGAAGAAATCGGTGGCCTCCTATTTCTACCGGAACCCCCACCTAGGTCTTTACTTTTTTCCCTTCCATTTTTCTTCTCGCCTTCGTATATTTTGGGATTTTCTCCATGAGATTCAATCAGTGTCTTTTCAACGCTCATCTGCATTTTACTTGCACTTCTTCTCTACCAAAATGGACGGCTGAAAAATGATTTTCCTTGGAGGCAAACACTTGAACCTTGTGAAGAATATTTGATTTCGAAAGAAGTTTATGAGATTAATTCTGAGATGAAGGCGAAAGGAAATCCAGCAAAAGGTGAAAGGAGATATGGCACCCCTCTAGGGGGGCTTTGACCCTTAGTTTTTTTTTCAGTTCCTCCTTCCTTCCTCCCTCCCTCCCCCCCTCCCCGCATTTTTTTTTTCCCTTTACAGGTGTTTTTTCTACTTAGCCTCGCGCAGACTTGCCTAGTCTCACGGCCTAGATATTCCAGAGTGACGCGCAGTAACATGGAGTCGATAGTATCCCGTGACAGTCAACAAAAACAAGAACAACGTCGGAATTAATCAGTTCCTGATTGTGCATAAAAGCCCTCCGCATTTTTCCTTTCCCCTACCCCTCGGCTTCTCATCCTTCTTCCTTGAGAATTCTCTCGGACGCAACTCACCGGGTTGGACGTCACACCCTGGATGAAGGTCCAGAAGACGACGCATATCAATACCGACCTCCTAAAAAATAGAAAAACCAAAATATTCAAGTTTTCTCAATATTTAAAACCATGCACAAAAAATATAGCTCTGGAGAAGTAGGAGGAGGTATATAAAAAAATAAAGAGCGATGCCGAGGCGCCTGCTGTCACTTGAAACCGAGCAGGCTGCAGCCACCTCTCCCGTTCGTGGCATTTGCATATGGAGCGGCTCTTTTCAAATACTAACAGCGTTTAAGGCAAGAGAGGAGAAGGGAGTGGAAGAAAGAAATAAAAAAGGAAAACCCTGGACTCGGCTCAGCCGTGGTCTGTTCAAATGAGGCAGAAAGCATTCAACTCGAGAAAAGGACTCGTTTCTTCATTCCTAAAATCAATATCAACCACCTCTTTTCCTTAGATTCTTTCTTCACTTCTTCCTCCCTTCCGTTTCAATTGATGAAGATATGGGGGGAGAAGCAATTTAGGTTGTCCTGCAGTCCATGATTAGTCATGTGGAATATCCACCCTATCGGCTTCCACTAGCACACAATATCAATGAAGAGATAGGGAATCCGCGAGACGAACCATGTGATGGTGTCGGCGTTGAGAAGTCGCCACAGGCCGGAAAATTTGAGCCTGGGCCGAGTCCTGCAAGGCAAGGGAACTCTCATGGTAGTTCTGGATACAGGTGGACAGGATCCCTTATCGACACGAAGAACTTCTTTTTTCCCCTCTTCGCTACGCATCTCACACTCGCCGTTGAACGTATTGCAGATCCCTCCGTCGGCACACATTCACTACCAACATCATCATAATTTTTCCCCCCCCCCGTCTTGTATGCGAACGGAGCACGCGGCGGAAGTGGCAGTCTCGTCTTCACGGAACATGATAGCAACTGACGAGGCTCTGCACTGGATGCCGGTCAACACCAGCACTGAAGACGATGAAGAGAAGCCACGAGGTCTCTACCAACTTCCTCCGACACATAGTTCTCCTTTCACGCCCTCCAGCTTCTCGACCCCTGTGAGGGTTCTTCCTCTCTCGGACCTTCATCCCCCAGAACGGAACCTAACAAAACGGAATCCCGTAGGAAACGTAAAGATGAGTCGTGGTCGGAGGTCTTCGATATGTATTCCTACGCTGGGCCGCTTTTCCTCTTTCTCCTCCTACTCTTGCGGATGAGGATTCAGTCACCGAGATGCAGCTAAGAAGGGAGGTCCCCTTTCTTCCCCTCTTGCTTGCGTGCAGCGGCGAAGAATGTTTTCCTTGAAAAATGTACTCAGTGCGAAATCGTTGCAGTTGTAGCCAACTTATGTGTGTGAGAAGATGGTAGTTGCAGAAAGGGGAACGTTATTTTTGCTGGTGATCCTTTTTTCACTTCACGGCACCCGTTCTCAAGACGCTTCCCAGGTCTGCCTCCGTCTCATATAATTCGTATTGGAAAAGGGTGCTGTTTTTTTTTTTCAGAACATCTCATCGGTAATAAATTAGAGCGTTCTATACACGCGCCAACGACATCTAATTGTAATGCGAAGGTTTAAGGGAGGGTTAAAGTTAAACATACTGGAAGGCGAGTGTTGTAGCTGGAAAAGTGCTAACCCGGGAGGTGTACGGACAGTGCGGGTCTGAGGCAGGCAAGCCTCGCCCCTCCCCCCTCTTCCCCTCTCGCAGTCTCAAACACGGCCTCTTCCTTTCTCATCGTCAGTGACTCTCCTTCCATCCCATCGAGGGCAGAGCACGAACACCATTGCAATTCCAAACGAGACTCGTAGAGCAACAACGATGCGTAAGGCTGACTTTCCTTTTGAATATACTTATAAGCAATCTCGGCCGAGAGAACACTCTGCACGTATGAGTCTTGACGACAGATGTTCCTGAGCACCACCTCTGCATTACTTTTCACGTATCAGCTTACCTTTTCCTGAATGAGAGAAACCCGTACAACAAGGCATGAAAGAACGGGGACCCCCAATCGTCTCTCGCATCTTAAGCTTCCACATTTGGGAATATATTGATAGCTGAAGAAGATGATGGGAATTGGAAGTCTCCATCATAGAGATCTGCTTCTTTCGCAGTCTTGGTTTTTATTTATTCATCTCAGGAAGTGACCGACGCAGCGGCTCCCAAACTGTGGGTCGCACAAATGCTTCAAGTTGGGTCACAAAAATCACCCATGGGAAAAATACAGTACATGTCTAGGGTGAAACCTCCTAAGTTCGGACACTGTAACGTTTTTTGTTAATAAATACGCATTTGCGAGATCGACATCAGAGAGTTTTTCTTAACCCAAGATGACCATGTTACTAAGCGAAAGACTTGCGGTGGTCGTGATTATTGAGCACGATTTCGAAATATCGGGCAGAAATGAATATCATGTCGCAGACAGGAGAAATTCAAGAAAATGTACAGAGACGACCTTACTTGAGAAACGTTTCCCACGCGGTATTGTTAATTCTGTGATCAATTCTTACTCCGCAGAAAAAGTGGAGCACTGCTACAAGGGAATGCGTATGCCCTGAGCATATTTCCGTCTTACTTCTGGTGTCCAGACTACGTTGTGTCCGAACTTCATTTTTTCGCATCTAAGTTCGGGCACCCAAGGAATTGGAAACATTGGAAGCTATAGGTCATCATCTTTATCACACTCTTTCCTACTTATATTCTACTGCCGGATGCAAAAAAAAAAGAAGTATCTGGGTTGTACCATTCAGGCGTGACGAGCGAATTACATTCCTTTCCCGGCTTAAGTGTCCGAACATAGGTAATTTTACCCTATGCTGAAAAATATTCCACCTCGAAACGATCGTCTCAACCTAATCCGGTTTTTGATTACGCCTCATTAGATTGTTGTGGCGCTATTATGACTGCAGGATACATATTTTTGGCAGTCATTAAGGTTTCCATTCAGCGTTTCAGCTCCAATAATTTATCTTCTCCAAATTATGGTGTACGGGTGAACCCCATCACCAAACTCTAGTCTATTTGTACCACTGCTAGAGTGTAATAAAAGAAACAGCATGAAATGCAGATTAATTTTGCATATTAATATTTTCTTTGAAAAGTCATCGTTTTGAATGTGGGTGAGTCATAAAATTTTTACAGAAGCTGGCAAGTTGATCGCGATTCAGAGAATTTCGGAAACCACTGCTCTATGGAAATGGTTGAAATGTGAAAGACACTGAATCCTGGCATTCTTCAGTGCCTTCCGTCCGGGTTTCTATTAATATAACTGGCGTCTCTACCAGGCAAGAGTTAATCCTCAGTTCAGTAGGCCTTGATACAATCTAGGAAAATTTTCAGAAACTTATTACACGCCGTTCTGCCCATTAAGTCCCAACATTTTTTTGTGGAATTTCTAAAAACCTTCATTGGATTTTTAATGCACGGTGACTATGACCAGTAATAAAAAAAATGGCATTCATGGTATTGCTAAAACAGGATATCCTATGAATCCTGGGACTTTTTTTTTGGGGGGGGGGGGGACATTTTTTATCCCGCACTGCAATAAAAATTCCAAAATTGCCCTCCTATAAATATGACGATGTGACGAAATGGATTGATCACGTGCAGCCCCGTTACAATGGATGGGACCTGTCGCTTTAATGATGTCGATTAAGTTCAAGGAATCGCCTCCGTAACAAGCTGGAATATGCAGAAGTGCTCAATCTACCTCATATTTTCGGGTCACTCCACGTAAAATCAAAACAAAAAAAGGGAAAATTAACTTGACCCCCTCCAATTCAGATTACAATTTTTGGACTTGTAGGATATATTTATAATCCATTTCTCACTGAACTTCCTAGTTCAAGTGCTTTGAAATACCTGCGATTATATATTGCCAAAAAATGTCGATTTCTGGTCTGGTGGTCATCGTGAAGGAGTGGATTTTTGTGCAAATGCATATTTTTTTCTGCAGTCTCGCAGCAGCATGCAACCTAGATAGGATCATGTATTTTTAGTAGAGGAAGCAATTTTCACCATTAAAAAAAACGCATAAATGCATATTTTTGCGTTAATCTCGTAATTTGCATATTTACGCATATATAAAGAAGTCTGTCTGTCTGTTCCTTTATACATTCGGACCTCGCAGGAGCCAGTGCAATGGCTTCCTCTTTCATACAGGAGAAGGTCGAGGACTATGTTTCGATTAAAAATTTTCACTCACTGGGTACTTTTCCGGGGTACTGTAGTGTCTGGGATGGCATGGAGAAGAACGACTGCCTCCTGTAAATCGGTGGTGCAGTGGTAGCACACCTGACCGGCGCTCAGGAGGTCCGGGTTCGATTCCCGGCCATGCCCTGTCTTTTTTTCGTCCTCTCATACCATCCAACTCTCCCATCCCAGCCACCTGCATTACAGTACTCCCGGGTAATCCCATTGCTGGATCGCTACAGTAGGTAGTAAGCAATATTCTTTTGATCAAGTTTTCAAAACGATTTAAAAAAATTTACCAATAAGTTTAGAAATAATTTTAAAATAATTCTGAAATTTTCAAAGCGTTCAAAAAATATAAAGTTAACTAAAGGGAAAGGGGTCCGAGCGCATTTTGCGACACCCAAGATTTGTAACTCATAAGAAACCATAAGGTTAACGTTCCCCAATTTGTCATGAATGAATTATTGACATTGAATTTCCCCGGGCAACGCAGGGTACTTCAACTAGTGTGGTTATGTATGCATATTTCGTCTATTTTATATGGGGAAAGAGTTTTCAATGAAAATGTGCTTTCATTTTAGCAAGCGATGAAAATTCTCCAGGATTCATGTGCTGTGACCGGTGGCGTAGCGAGAGGGGGGACTGGGAGAGGGTTGAAGAACCCCTCCCAAGTTTAGTTCAAACCTCCTCAACTCTGGTCTAAATGCAATGTCATGCGGTATCGCCATTTGACATATGAGGCATGTAATTGACTCTTCACAGTATACACTGTTTCTGATGCTTTTTTATGTTATTTAGCAAGAGCTAGGAGGGGGGGGGGAGTGTGTGTGACAAATGATGCTTCTTTTTTTAAGAAGTCGTCTCATCCTCAGTTACCAATGCAAACGAATCTTCTGTGACGTCTTGTAGATGAATGGATTTTCTCGCGTAACACGAGCACCAAGACGTGCCATTCTAATTGTCACTTCTCTGCTTTTGTTTTTATGGGCAAATGCTGCTGGTTCTTCCCAGCTATACAGTAGTCCGATCAATCAAAATAGAACTCGGACCATAAACTGCATTGGAGCAATACAGTATCCCTTGGCTACGCAACTTTTGTAACATGAGTCACACGGTGATGATTTTCTTTCTCTACATTGATTTGGTATATTAGTGAGTAAAAAATGCAAGTGCTGTGGAAAGAAAGAAACGGAAAGAAAAGCTGAAGGAAGACGGGAAATATGATGAATGTACGATGAGAAGATCATTCGTCGAAGCAGTTCGAACTTGGCCCCAAACGCTCCAAAATTTGTAGTGTAGTATAATATGTAGTTCCACTATATCATACTTTCATCATACTTCCCTTCTTGCTTCTTCTTTTGTCTCCTTCGTTTCTGCCTTTCAGCTGCAGTTTTTTTAAATAATTTTTTAATTCACTTACACACCAAATCAATTTTGAGAAAGCAAACCATCACTCTTACTCTTGCCATTGTGACTCACATTACATAAGTTGCACAGCCAAGGGATATTGTAAAAGGCGAAATGTCCCATTGCATTGGGTTGAGGCGAGTACAGTACAATACAGTCCGTCCGGGCGGGGGAAGGAGGTGGCGGTGTGACTTGCATGGGCTTGCAATTTCTTATCACGATCAAATTCTGGAAATTCTGGGACTGACTATACGAAAGACGGGAAGGAAAAAAAAAACCTGTTGAATCGGAGACAGGAAGAGGGAAGGGTGAGGGAAATAAGACCAAATAATATTTTTTTCTCTTCATTCATTCTTCGGCTCGATCTCATCAGGTGCATGCTGCGAAAGTGGACTGTTTTTATACTCCCTTGATTTCGAAACGTACATTAGTTAGTCCCCCCTCTATATATTCATGTCCTTCTCTTCTTACGTAAACGTAAGAAGAGGACACGGCTTACGTTTTTCAATGGGGGATTTTGTCTCTTTACTTAGCTGAACCCATAGTTAATTTTTTACATGGACGTTTCTTATTCTATGCCTGTCCCGATGTTTCCGCAACCGCCGGTATGGCACCATCGGCAGGTTGCTATCTGCCGGCGCCGATTTCCAAAGACCGTGTAGAATGAAAAAAAAAAGAAAAAGAAATTGCGTGAACGGGCTTGACAACTGATTCTCAACGGCAATAAGAAAAAAGTAAGGCTGTCATGATGCATCCATCGATGAACGGATGTCATCTTTGGTAGTTGGAGGCATGGTTTTCATTACTCCCTGCGAAGGTCGCACCTTCCCCCGCACGCACCGATCACAAGCGTGAGATTATGAAAGACGGATAGAGGTCTGCGCTCCGATCGAGGCAAGAAACGATGGAAGACAAACCTCCGCCCGATCGCGGCGAGAAAAGATTGAATCCTTCGGCGCCCCCCCCCCCCCCCGATGCATCGATACACTATCGATAGTTCAGGTCTATCCNCGCAAGCCCCCCCCCCCCCCCCCCCCCCCCCCCCGATGCATCGATACACTATCGATAGTTCAGGTCTATCCATCGATGTTTTTTAAGCTGCTATCGTGACAGCCCTACTTGTAATGCAGACTTGTTATGTACCCTAATGGCGAGTTCGAATCGCTGATGATGCTGATTTCAACGGACCCAAGGATGTGTGTGATGCTATCAGCACCGGTTCATTCTTTCCCGCAGGATGGTTGCAAGGGATGCCAACCATGGTGCATTTGCCAAGGGGAGGCTGGTTCTGCAGGAGCGCCGGGGTCCGCAGGGTTCCCGGGGAGTCAAGGAATTCCAGGGGACATGGGGCCGGAGGGACCACCTGGTACCTCTGGACGTCGAGGTGACCCCGGAGCCATAGGCAGCGAAGGATCCAAAGGATATCGAGTCTGTTCCCCAATTTCTCCTTCCGTTCTAAATGCTTTTACTCACGTAAATCTTAGCAGCTCGGAATGAGAAGGCCGGGCATGACTCTGGCACAATTTCATCACATTCATTCGGCAATAGTAGAAGAACCAACCCCTTCCCGTCACTTTTTTTTCTGTCAGCTCTGCCTGATATCGATTGTATCACTTCTTCATGATCAGAATCATACTAAGTCGATGGATTTATAAGGGGGAGGTAATTACCAGGTTCAGAGTTTTGCGCAATACGTGTGGGGGTGAGGAGATAACACTTAAAAACCGAGGGTTTAGCTTCCCTGGAAACTTCCGATCTGGCAACCACGGTTCGCCAAATTTCCTGCAGAATTGCAGAAGCCTTGGAGATGCGGCTGTCGATCTCGTTTCCATGTTGCCCGTCACTCGAGAACCTGACCCAGAGGTATTTGGATATCTCCACCTGTTCAAGTGGGACCCCCTGCCATGTAGGGTGCACTGCACAGGATTTCTCGAAAGGACCATGGCCTGCGTCTTGAAGGCGCTCAGCTTCATTCCGGTAGTTCTTTAGGAGTCGAACCGATCGAGCTCGCTCCTTAGCTCCTGTCGAGAACGGGTCAAAAGGACGGCATTGCCTGCAAAGAGAAGTATCTTTATTGTGAAGCCACCGATGCTGACCCCCTCCAGGTCAAGGCTGCGCTTACAGATCCTGTCCATGTACACGAGGAACAGGAAAGGAGTGAGGACACAACCCTGCTGTAGTCCAGCTCGTACCAGGAAACAATCCGAGCTCCTTCCGCTCACTCGAACGCAGCTCCTGCAATCACTGCCCATTCAAAAAATTCCGTTTCGTCGTACATCCTTGTACAGGGTGTCCATAAAGTAACTTGACAACAATTTTTTTTATCTTCGCCAACTGATGTTTTACGTTGACATTATCTTAAAGAGGACTAAATTCTTCATTCCGGAGCACTAATAATATTCATTTTTCTCCATCCCAGGTACCTGAAAAACTAATATTTTGACAACTGCTGAAAATGCTCAGTTTCTCGCAAAGAGCATTTCCTCGTTCTCCTGAAGGTCGACCTTGTTTCGGTTGGTCTTGAACTGACCCTGTCTCCTGAAACTTCCTAATAAGATCATGAATGACTAGGTGAGAAGGCCCTTGGGACGTCTTGTAATGACGTTTGAACTTCTTTTGTGTTTCTGCCCATAGGCGGCAATTTGAGAAATTTGGGGGGCTCAGAGACAGTACTCCAAGTGTTCCTTATTCTTCTGCCAAATTTTTTGGGGAGCTCGAGCCCCCTGAGCCCCTATGAATCGCCGCCTATGTTTCTGTTACAGATTTTGACTCAAAATACCCCTCGATGATCTTTATTCTTTGCGAGAAACTGAGCATTTTTGGCAGTTATCAAAAAATTAGTTTTTCAGGTACCTGGGATGGAGAAAAATGAATATTATTAGTGCTCCGGAATGAAGAATTTAGTCCTCTTTAAGATAATGTCAACGTAAAATTTCAGTTGGCGACGAGAAAAAAAGTCGTTATGTCAAGTTACTTCATGGACACCCTGTATAATCATCTAAACATCCAAAGCGTTGAAGTTACTATGGAGATACAACCAAGCTTTTTCTGCTTTTTTTAGGATTATCTTCTACTATTACTTTCTCTTCGTGCGGGACTAGCCATCCCGCTTGGCGTGCAATGAATGCTTACTAGTCATGTCAATTTGGGCGCACATAAGTAGGATAAATAAGCGTAGGATCGCCTGTATCCCACGTGACAGGTAAAGGATTTTAAGTCTCGGCTCCAATTGCCTTTTTTGTTCTTTTGTTTGCACTTTACTAAAAAGCATTATGATCTGTAATTACCCAATATAGCACTGTATAGATATTATCTGGGTCGCATATGGTAATTATTATTTTCTACAACGCCTATGCAAATAAATCCGAACGTTCGGTTTTTCCCCCTTCGCCTGTCCGGATTTACCCCACAGCACTGGCGTTCAAGAAGCCCGCTCTCACGGACTAGCGAGAGAACGAATATCGCGGATTCCATATCTTCGAAAGAATAATAACTCCTCTTTTCATGCGAATTCATTCGAATCAGTCAGATCTTATGCAGCAACAAGGAAGGCCACGCCTCTCGAGCAGTTCCTTACATTAATCGAGATCAAAATGAAGATACTGCTTTCCTCGGAAAACTATTCGAGTCACGGAAACGTTCACGATAGGTTTCCACACTTGTTGATGAAGCCTGTGCAGTGGCACAAGTGGCTGCTTGTCATGCCCATTCTAAATACAAATGTAGGTTATTTCGCACCGTTCGGATTTACCCGCCGTTCAATATTACCCTACCATGAATGTGTCAAATTGATAGGAACAGTATTATTACTACTATTAACATACCGTACTGAGTACGGTATGTTAATAGAGCTGTGAAGCCTGCAGACTCCAAACCAGAACATTTACTTTTAGTAATATAGTAAATGGTTACACCAGCCATTTGATTCCATGGGCTCATTCTTAACTCGTCTCGATTATTTTGAGACTAGGAATATCGTCATGCCTGCATGATCAGAGCAAGCTGAATCTAGTTACTCGAGATGAGACAGATTCACTGGTGCTGGAGGAAGGGGGGACTCAGGTATTTCAGGAACTTTGCTGAACTTGTCAATTCTTGACCAAAATGCAATTAGTTACTATAATCGGTTGCCTTTCAGTAATTATAATCCCAACGAGGAATTAATGTGTCGCCAAGGAGCCGTAAAGAATGATATGATATTCGCTGGAGTAGTACTTGTACCTCGCACCAACATGAGGAAGCAAACATAAGTAAGAAATCAATTGAAACAGTAGTAGAGGTAGATTTTTTTTTCTTCTAAACGTGGAAATGTGTTCCAAATGATGGATACTTGCATCTCCCTGAAATGGATAATACAAAAGTCCTGACCCTTAGAAATGTCTTTCCCGGAAGCACTTGTGGCCCTAACTGGTTTCGCAGATATAAATGCGGTGGCTAATACTCCCACGAACATGTGTGAAGGCCTCTTTTGTAATTGCCACGCAAGCAGTACGGATATTGTCTTTTAACCCTCCAATGGTACGGAGACGTATGGGTCAGGACTTTTGCACCACCCTGTATATGTAATTTTGAGGGTTTTCTATATATTTAGATCAGGGGTTCTCAAACTGTGGGTCGCGACCCCCAGGGGGGTTGCCTAAGGGTCACAGGAGGGTCGCAAAGGAGTTACAGTAGAATCTTGGAAATCTCTTTTCTTTAAATAGTTTATAATCGATTTCTCTTTAGTTCAGGAACCTAGAAATTGGAGGTCGCGAGCTTTGGCTCCCGTGAAACGGGGTCATGAACCCAAAAAGATTGAGAACCTCTGATTTAGATGTTCATGATAATATTCCGGCTTTAGTCATTGTAAGCCAACCATTTACCAATGATGGCCCAGCTATGACCTTTGTTTGAGTCAAATACAAGCCGAGGATGACCCAATGAAAACGTTTTGACTGTGTAGTCATGTTGTTGAACTTCGCTATTTTTTGTCCTATTTTCTTGACGTTCCTTTTAGCCTAACGACAGAATTTGCCATAATGCTATGACATTTCATTACATTACTAACCATATAACCGTGGATCGTGTGCAGGTCAGAGAGCAGTAGTTATATAGTAAAACAATAGTAAAATCCTATACAGCTACAGTCTCTCAAGCATTGTTAAGATAATTGTTTTATATTTCCTTCTAGGGTGACTCTGGCTTTCCAGGGTTTCCTGGTGTATCTGGTATCCCGGTGAGTCCGATTCCCTTTTTCTAATGATTCATTTCAGCTCTCAATTCTTTCTTTCCTCTATATTGGATCGACCTGTGTGCACTTGTAGGGTTTGCCAGGAATCGAAGGACCCGTCGGAGCCGAGGGTCTGGCTGGGTGCAACGGAACCGATGGGAGACAGGGTGAACCTGGACGACATGGGTTCCCAGGTCCAAGAGGACCACCTGGAAACCTGGGACCCCCGGGACCCCGAGGTGAATCTGGGGAAGGGGGCATCAATACTCCCGGTACCAAAGGAGACTTTGGAGATGACGGCAGGCCTGGCCTCCCGGTTTGTTATCACTACTTCCTACTGACACTATGCCCGTATGCATTTATACGTACATGCGCGTGAGAGAAGTATTCTTATGATTTTATGATAAGCAAGTAAAATGACCATCGAGTGGCACTCATATCTCGTAATCCATTAATTTTCTTCGATTCATGCGGTCAATGAAAGTCTTGGGGCATTGGCTGGTAGACTGAGAGCTACGCACTCCAAATCGATACCAGCAATAACTACCTCGCTGTGAACACCTCAAAAACAAAGAATATTTCCATAACAAATTTTGCTATGGAAATGCTTCGGAAGTGATGGCAGAATATTCTCTATGAAGGGTGAATTCTTGGGAGTGCTCCACCAAAATTCTATACTAAGCTGGCAATGTTGCTGGGTTTTCTCCCAATTCCTTGCCCATTCAAGCAGCCCGCAAAAGGCAGTTTTACTGGTCATTGAAAAATGTAATGTCACTGAAAACCAACAAGATACAGATATATATAGGTTGATCGTAAAGTCACGCAACCCAAAATCAGTATTAGCAACTATTGTGAGCATCTACAATAAGCTATTGTTATAGACTGTATACTGTATACTGTACACTGTATATTGTATTGTATAGGACTGTGTGTTTACTTGCCACTAAGCCTCCAAACTTAAGCTATGAATGCTACACTAGTGGAACTAGGTTCCAGAGAAAAAGTTTCTGTGCTGTTTCTTTTGGTCACGGCAAGATTTATTTTGGGTTGCGTGACTTCTGGATCACCCTGTATTTGGAAAGAAATTGGGAACTGACTCCATTACAGAGAAGTCCATATCAACATCATCAATTATCACGAGTCTCAAGAAGTAACGCCTGCTACCAAACGATTTCTATTAATTAAACTATGCGAGAGAAGAAATCAACAATAGGAATCATTATTGGCTCATTTAAGAACTTTCCCAAACTCTGGGTAGCCCTAAGAATACCCAAAAATCAAGATCAGAGTTATAATGATTCTGTATCTACTCATATCTGTTAATCTTTAACCACTTCATGAAGTTTGATGGAATAGGAACCAGACTCATTAAGAAGGTTCTGTGTTGGAGTAAAACTCTTTACTCCACCCTTGCCGACGAAAGTAGCACACTCTTTCTGATGACAATGAGCAAGTCATGTTTCAGACGAGGCAAATTTTCGAAAATTCTTGAGGATCCCGCGGAGGAGGAACTTGCGTTCCTCGTTTTCATACCCCTCCGATTCACATGGAGGAATATGGTCAGAAAGCTCAAGGGACAGTGCCCAATGACATACGCAAGAGAGCCGGCAAGCCAAGAGGTCTGAGAGCCATCATCGCAGTATAGAGGGTCATTCATTTATCTGGAACCATAAGGAATCATTGATTTATGCGGGCTGAGGTGGAATGTATCGAGTATGAGTGTGCTCTTAGCTTCGTCTGTAACAGTTTTACATCTTAGGTGAGGATTATTTAATACAGATACAGTTTCCCTGGATTCGGGAAGCTTGAGCAATTGGTTCTCGACCTGGCTTTCATTATTAAAGTCCTCAGCAACTTTCCTGTTGGAACGTGAACTAAACATTTAAATGATTTTCGCTCTTTACTTTGTGGCATTTTATCCACCAATTTTGAAAATTACGATCTGAAAAGAATGAACAACAATTAGTTATGATTTCAGATAGGTTAATGACCCTGTAGAACGCATCATCGCTTACCCACAGTGAGAAACGGAGAGTGAAGCGGTGAACGAGAAGTTGTCCGACAGTTTCCTTCTCAAGTATGACGAGCTATCATGACGAGCTATCCACCTTTCTCGCCTGGAATCGAAATGGATCCTAGAGCTAGACCGTTCGAGCTTGCTTTCTTGCTTTTCTCACCTTCTTTTCCCTTTTACACACGTTTATATTTTTGTCTATCGAGGACTAGCCTTGCACCCTACTGAAAAGCCAATGAAATCGGGACAATAGTTCATAATTATCTGTTATCGGCAGATATCAGCGATATCTGTTGATTTCATCTGTAACCAGTGCAATTCACCATTCATTATTCGTTCCATATATGTTTCTTTGCTTACATAAGAGGCGAGATTATAACACTGAAATATGTGGCGCGAGGTCTGCTGCATCAGAGCTCAGTAGTATGCACAATTGCGACTGAACGTCCAGGCCTGCTAAGATATCATCATTGGAAGCAACTGGCGTATGCCTAGACGAAAGTTATCTAAGTTTTATACGCTGACACGCGACCCAAATACATTGGCCTGTTTTGTTATTCAGTGAAGAAACTTAGGCTCAAGAAATCCACTATGGGGAGGCCTATACCGATGTAAGTACCCCTTATAGGCAATACCTGAGTTTAGGAATGCATTTCATTAAATGCATTCAAAATGGTCCCCTTCGGAAAAGGTTTGACACCTTTCTACCTGAGAACATGGTGAAAGATGCATGTGTCACCGAACGCCATCTCAAATTTTCCTACTTTCTGATTGTCACTTGGTGCGTTGCAGCTTTACAGAACTGAACTCTCGTTCATACATGGGCCATAGAAGGGTCTATAAACTTGAGAGGGGAGCAGCCACGAGGTCTATTTCGTACCTGGTGTTAAGGCGGGCATGAATGTTCCTCCCATGGGAGATCGTCCCCATAGACAACCATTGTCCATGAGAGTACCTCCAAGGAATAGAGAAGGCTTTTTATTAAGAAAGCTATTTATGGGAGCCATTTCGCACTCTCGCACGAAAGTAGAGATGAACCCTATTTCATAAAATTACTCATGGACATGATACTCATGGAGCTTATCTTACACAAGTAAACTCTCATATGTAAAGACCGGCCAAGATTCAATCAAAGGCTGAGAAGAACTAAGGCGTGTAAGACAAGCCAAAGCAATGCAGGCAGAGCTGGGCGATGTAAAGGGAGTACTGTCCGAGGGCCTCTCCTCTTACATTGGACCGGTTAGGTTCAATCTCAAATCGTTGGTTCTCGGAAAGTGATTTCCAACTAGAGATATTCCTGCTTAATCAATTTCTCTATCGCTAGCGCAGAAGGAGACACCAAATGCGAAACAGCAACTGGCACATAGCTATGTGCAACCAATTGATAACCCACGTAATGGAAGAGGTGGCGAGAAACAAGGTTATACCGGGTGGTGCAAAAAAAATTGCGTCCTGATTGACGCTTTATGAAACCAATTGTGTAAACTTTAGGTTCGTGATTTTTTAAATATTCTATCACATTGTAAGCACTGCAAAATTTGTTTCTTGAAGGTTTCAAGTGTCTAGGTTGTCTGAATAAAAAGCGACGGTATTTCAAAGTACAGTCATAAAATTTAACTTTTCCACGCCTGAGGTAGATGCAGTCTTTCCTCTCATATACGCATTCAGTTCTTTCACTCTCTCCTTGCGCTCTGTGATGCTTGCAAGATGTCCTCGGCCATCCTTAAGGTGCCATTGAAAGCTACGATAACTCATATTGACCTGCGAATGAATTCACAGAGCCTCTAACTTCGACTCAAAAAGGTCTAGGCCTACTTCCTTTCATGGTGCACTTCCATGGATAAACTACATTAGTGGCACGCATGTTAAATGTGGTTAAAATTCATTTGCAAATCCCCAAATCAATGCTTTCGGCCTTAAGCAAATCAGAGATAAGACGATAAGAAAATGGGAAAACCTTCTCCGAGGTTGCTTAGGCCTTGAGATGAACAAAAAATTTGTTGTTGCTGGAGTTCCGTGGTTGAGTGGTTCTAGCTACCTGGTGAAGCCCTGGAGACGAGGGATCGAGTCTGGGTGGCGGCGAACTCTTCCTCCGCCGACAGGCGACCATGGAGAGTGTCTGCTTTGAGTGGGATAACACTCACGCCACTCTACGTGCCACGTCTAGGAGATACGGGTGCTGTACGCCTTAAAAGTCACTCATGCCAGGCTTAGGCAACCCGTGAGCTGCCCCTTTGGCCTCCTATAAAACCGTCGGAGGGTGACCCAGCCTGAGGGACTGTGATCCGGATTTGGAGCCCGTGCCAAGCGCCCACTCCCTTCCTCTTTGTGTAGTGTAATAGGTCCGTTGTCGTTTGTGTCCACCTCAAGTCTTGTCTTTTTTTAAACAAAAAAACAAACAAGCAAAAAACTCGTTGTTATACTTGTTATTGCACACCACCGGTGACGCACCTGCTTCCAAATCAGAACAGGCATCACTTTCATCGGGAGATGTGCAATTGTGACCTATGAGGATGAGAATCGTGGGAAGTTTGCACTGCATATTTAAAAAATGCTCGGCAAACCTGGGACCTGTTCCTCGTCACTCCTAAACTTGATTTAAATCTAAACTTGACCTGAAGGCTTTATAAAATTAGGCAAGGGAATTCGCCTTTCCTTACCTTAAGGTCGAATTACTTTACGAGTACATTCTATCCAGCTCAACCTTGATACACTTTTCATCCCCAAAGAGGTCATTGAATGTCATCTGTCTTCCTCTCGGATAAGGGACGTCACCTTTCATCCCTCCCCAAGATAGTGGCTTCTGGCACCTGGAGGGTGGAGGCATTACATATAAATGGTTTAACCCTTTCCAGCCAAAATTGTTCTTGTGTTCAAAAAAATTTGAAAACGCCTGAATCTTAGATTAATGTATCTAAGGAGGTAAGTTAACATCAATATGTTAGTCAGTGTTGCCACAGATATTAAATATGAAATAATGCCATATGGCGTCATAGGGCATTTCGTAAGGTGTAATCTCACCTGATACGATTTGTAAAATTTACGTGTTTTGTTGAGACATAGAGCTACGTTGCACTTCTCACACTTCACTTTCGATTGTGTCTTGATGCACTGTTCGCATTTTAGCTTGCTTTCAACAAGGACTGGCCGATGTTGGGCTACATCGTACCAAACATCGCCAACCGGTCGGTGGAACCCGACTGGTTTACGTTGTTTGTTAGGAAAAAGTCGGACTCAGACCTAGCCGAATTAAAATTTGCTTGTAGTTTTATCGTTCGCGATTATGTGGTCATCAGGAAACATTTTTAAGTATTGGAGAACGATCGTCTCGTTAGAAGGAGGGGAAAATTCACGAGAAAAGCGTGTATCCACAGGATCCATGTCCTGATTATGCCAACGTACATTCGACTGGGATAGGGCAAACATTAACCTGAGTGGCAAGTGACCATGAGAGGCAGGTTTTTTAAAATGTGCTGAAATATTTGGTTAGTTCTGGAAAATACAGGGTGATTCAAAAGTCACCTACATTTTTTTGGGTGCCGTATATGGTATCAATCGATTTGTCTGCTCCTCCTGAGCAGTTCGGCATAATATTAATGTGGGGCGAAAGATACTTTGGAAGGAACGACCGAAAAATTCATAATTAGCGTAACATTTCTTGACTCTTGGGTCACTCCACACCAAATCGACCAGAGGATGAGCTCAACCATCTTCGATTTTGACAAAAAGCGGCATGCATGTAGAGGAATTGATTATAAGAAAATGAATGCCAAGTATTTTTTTTTATCTCGCTCCAATCTCAAGATATATGCATTTGAGTGTCACCTATTTTTGGCTCCTGGAGCCTATATGGACTGGAATTGTGAGACTATTTTTTCTATAGCTTCTCTTCTATTCTAGATAAAAGCTTCGTCATGGTGTCATTTTAATTGTGAAACTGCCGTCTTTAGGCTGTTCTCCGAACCTAAAACAAGAACTTCCACTTATAGATAATCACACAGTTTGATTAAGTTCAGTGGAAGATATCTACACTTGCCATGGTTGGAACTCGTGGTTTCAATACTTGATTCCAAGTGTTTTTCTTTCTAACGATACCAAATTTGAAATTAACACGCAATTGCCTCATGAGATATAATCATTTGACGGAAGGAACAGGACACAGATGGCTACGTTTGGAACCAAGGGAATGTGCGCTGTTGTGCTGTACACTACTCCTTCGGCAAGAAAATTCCAACTAGGATTTCGAATCGAGGTTCCTCGAACTTATGACTTTATTTTTAGCTGTATTTCAGCTAATTCCGAAGTAGGAGAGCAGCAGGGAGGAAATAAGAAAAACATTCTCAGTCCTACTGGCAAATTCAATCTTTAAACCAGTCTGGATCTTGTCTAGTTTTCGAGCTATTCCCCTGTTAGAATGGACTGGAATTTACAGCCATAGTCCACCTGGAAATTACAGTTGTTTCAAGCTGGAATTTTGAACTGAGATGTGTGAGACTTGCGCTTGCTAGCCCAGATCCAGTCGATTGGAGGAGGCCACTTTTTCATAATTTTTTTCGCTATTGGGAAATCTTTGACGACCCGCCTCGAAGTCACTTGCCACCATTGGGTCGAAACCAACGGCTTGAGAACTGTTGACTTGGATGATGGCGTGAAGTATGGTGAAACCAGCACATCTTTCATTGGGGCCATGTGGTTGATGTAGTACTAATCTCATGCCGTATTTTCAGGGAATTTCCGGAAGAGCAGGTTACAAAGGTTTGAAAGGAGAAGAGGGAAATTTCGGCCTCAGGGTGAGTTGCTTTCCATTCCCTCATTATGGTATTTCCCAAGAAAGGCTTTTGCGAACAGGGCGCCTGAATGGTATCCCAGTGAAGTTTACAATTTTTCTAACACTGCGCGACGATGTCATCGCTACGAGCCTGAAAATTTCGTCTATTCGTCTGAATCTTCCTGAACATTTCCCAGCGTTAAAAGCGCGTTCATATTAAATTCAGAATAATTATAACATTTCCGAATGCTTCCTCGAATTCTTTTGAAATGTTATTTTCGGTCAATTAGGGATCACCAGGTCGTCCAGGGAGAAAAGGGGAGGCAGGCTACAAAGGGGACGACAAGCAGGGGAATCTGGGTCCACGTGGAGATCCAGGTGACACTCTCGGACACCACCATGCGAGGGATGCTCCAAAAGTTTCTGGCCTGAAGCGTTTATTTAAACCAAACAGCACAAAAATTTCAAAACTTTTCCAGATATTCATTACAAAATCATATTAAATTTTCCATCCTCTCAAATCACTTTTGAAACGAGTTATTCCAATCTGATAGACAATTTCTCAAGGAAATCTTCAAGAGCTGTAAAGCCCTCATTATCGCTTTTGAAAGAGCTCTTTTGAGTTCCTTCTGGACTTTTGAGAACAGATAAAAGTCTCATGGGGCCTAGTTGGAGGAATAAGGTGGATGAGTGACCATCTTCATACCTTTCTTGCCCAAAAATTCCACATTTTTGGCTGCAGTGTGGGCACTTGCATTGTCATGAGCTGGACCTCCACCTGAGATCTGACCGCGGACATCTATCCTCCAAAAGTTGCAAATCTTGAGGCCGTCGTACTTTGCAATACCAATCAGCAATCATTGTTGCACATTCTTGAAGCTGCACCACCTTCATAGAGCCATGGCGCCAAAAGAAAACAGCAACCATCCTTTTTCCAACTTTCCAGGTGCAGCAAATCTTGGTTGGAGGATCCTCATCTGGTAGCAACCGAACTGAGGAGAGTCGTTTTGATTCTAGGTCATTGTTATACATTCAAGTTTTGTCACCTGTTACGATTTTAAAAACAACTGTTTTTGACTGCCCTAATTTGTACATTCAAAGCATGAAAAGGCACCAGTCAATCCTGGTCTCTTTTTGGGCCTATGTCTATTTGTGGGGCACGCAGCAGCAGAATTCCAAAAAACCCCAGATGGTCATGAATGATAGCGTTTACGGCAGCTGATTCAATGTTGAGAATGTCTTCACGTTGTTAGTAGGTCAAGCAACAACTGGTTATCACCAATTTCTTTGCATGGTCAACTTTCTCTGAGAACAAAGCTTTTTCTGGACGCCCTGAACGTGTCTCATTAGAAACTGAAGGTTCCCCACGACGAAATTCTCAAAACTAAATTTGACATTGGAATATGATGCAAAACATACCCCAAAAAGCACCACTAATATGTCCATATAGCTATTTTCAGATAAACCAATTTAAAAATAAAAACAAATCATAGCAGGAAAATGTTCTCTTGCCAGTTCAATTGCCATCGAACCAATATCAACTCCAAAAGTTTCATTGTCTGTTACTTTCCTAGCTATGACCGAAATCATTTGAACGTTTTCCAGTTTAAGAGAAAATGAATAATGTTAACACATATTACAAGAACTATCACAAATAGTATGTAAATAGATGAGGCCAGAAACTTTCAGAGCAACCATCCTATTTACATGTATGGAAGACGAATTGAAGAGAACGTGCGATTGAGATTACAGGGGAGCCGGGTCCACCGGGACCACCGGGACCGCAGTTGTTCTTGCAAGAGGAGACTGCTTACACGCTCAAAATAAAGGGACCTACAGGTGACACGGGAGATGAGGGATCAAGGGGTGCCCTGGGGCCACCAGGACCACCTGGAGATCAAGGCAGACCGGTTCGTTCAACTGCATCTAATCCATCTTCGTAGAAGGATTCTACGACGGGAAAAAACTTGCAGTGCATCGACGGTTATCTGTTAGGGAAACCCTGGGTTGGCGGGACTAAGAGGAGACCGTGGGGAAATAGGAGAAATCGGTCCACGCGGGAAGGAAGGGACTCTAGGTCTAGGGGGACCGCCAGGAGAAAAGGGACAAAAGGGAGCTCCGGGTTACGAGGGGAAACATGGCATCAAGGGGTTTCCCGGATTTCCAGGAGAACCTGGATATGATGGGACCCCAGGAGTACAAGGACCCGCGGGACCACCCGGATCTTACGACCTCAGTCTTGGCGAATCCTCCCCCGGTGCTCCGGGGATACAAGGACCAATAGGTTAGACTTCTCTCCTATTTTCATATCTTCATTCATGCACTATAGTAAATTTTTCACAATTGTTCAAATCTGGATGAGTCTGTAAGCTTCTCGTAACGTTTTTAAAAATTTAAATAGACTAATCGAGAACAGTTGTATTAGGGCAAATCTGGGAATTCCGCAACACTCGTGAAACTGGAGGGTAATTCCGCAACATATCACTTACCTGTTGCATCATTTTCCTGTAGGAAACCTCTATCAGTACCCCAGTGGCGTATTTTGGCTGAGGGGTCGGGGGGGAGGGGGGGGGGGCCATACCCTACCCTAGCGATATCAGGTGGGGAAATTACCATTACCTCCAAGGGGGCCCCAGGGGGGCGGCTGCCCCCTCTGCCCCCCCGTAAAATACGCCACTGCAGTACCCTATCTAGTTTAATGGATAGTGCCATATGTACTGTGACGTCACTGCGATCACAGCTCTTTCATCTCAGCTGGGTGAATAATGACGCGTAGACAACGGAAGCATGGTGCTTTTCCTCGCTGAATACCGTGCTCTATAGCGAGAGTCCGATTGTTCGACAAGAGTCGAAAATTATTTATAAATATATTTTAGAGCATATGGCAATGTAGATTGCACCTCCATTCAGGTCTTTGATAGTTTAGGACCGAGTAAGAGGTGATTGACATGCATAACTCCTTAAGTATCAGCAGTGCAGATGTTGCGGAATTGCCCGATCGGAAAATTAACCATCAGTAAATTCCGTAACTTCTTGTTGGGATATTGCCATTTGCAAAGAAATGGGAAGCCCCAAAGGTAAAACCAAAACCGCAGCAAGAGCCAGAGGATGACGGAAATAGCCAATAACAATCAGCAATACGGATAAGACAAACAATAAGTATTTGCAGGAAGATCAAGATGCGGCAATTAACTGCACAAAGTCTGGCAGGATGGGCTTGCGTGGGACTCCAAAATTTATGGAGTGCCACGAACAACCATAAATGATAATAGAGGAGGGTTGGCAAATTATGTTTCAACTTTGGAAATCGAGAGTATGATAATTTCACTGTCTTGAAATAAAATAATATAACCAGATAATTTACGGCATATGTTAGAGGTCCTTCCCCTTTTAAATACGCCTTGAGGCCCCACTTTCCATCGCCGAAAAAAAAAACCAAGACAAAAGACGCCCTTTACTTGTCATGATGAATATCGGAGACGTCCTTCTTCGCTTCGTTCGGTTGAGATGTTTTCTTTTTTGTACTTTATACCTGAATTCCTGGCAAATCTGAACATGGGAAGAACTATTATCCATCATTGCCAAAGTTAAGGGCCTGAAAACTAATAACTTCGCCCCCCTTCGAGGGGGCATGCAGAAGTAAAGATTGCGGTATTCCCAGAATAGTGTTGCGGCTTTAGCAGAAGGGGTGCGGAATTAGCCGAATGCTCATCGGGAAGAATGATCACGACCAAATCTAACCCTGGAAATTCTAATGAGAGAAATCCTTCCGTGTTTCGAGTCATCCGATTCGTCTTTTCCTCAAGTTTCATCGAAGGTATAATACAACATGGTCCTCTGCACACAGACGCCGTCAGCTCCAGTGAAACAAGGGAACAAACAGTTGAGATCCAAAGTCGTTGCGGAATTCACAGATTTGCCCCAATACAACTGTTTCTCGAATTTCAAGGTTCGAAGTTCAGAGTTTTGACACTTTTTCCATATTTGTACAAAAATGAAATGAAAACATGAGGCGATTTGTATATGTAGGATTTCGCAGAATTTAATTATCAACTATGATTATGTCCTTGAAGTGATTTAAGTACTCATTGTTTTGAATGAGAAAACGAAAGAGCGGAAAGATCAGCTGCATCTATTCCCTGAAGGACTATTGCGCTATCACGAAGCAAAAGGTTCTCTTCGTAGCTTTCCTTTGTAGTAGAAGAGCATTTATTTTTCAAGTTTATTCTTTTGTTGTCTCTCATGTTCCGTACTACGGTAATTGTTGAATTCAATTGAATCACTCCCAGATCGATATTCCACTCTGTCAAGTTTGATACTAAGTTAACCGGAAAATGCTAAAATGCTTTAAAATCAGCGTGCTGACAGAATTTGAGTTTACGATGCCCTAAACGGGGTCTTCGTTCGTCAACGATGGATCCGCCCGCTACGAAAGCTAAAAGAATACTGACAGGTTTTGTTTGGGGAAGTTACACCCCCAATCCAAGTTATGTGCTGAACCTATGCCAAAGGTCGAAATCCAGAAAGGCTGACATTTGCTCATGCTTTTCCCATGATGAGCACATTTTAAATGCCAAAATCCCCAATAATACTTTGGCACGAATTTCGCCAAATTTCAACTCACCCTTTGTCTTGCCGACATCTATCGAGAGGTCGATTTTCTCGGTGATTAGGTCAATATTTTTTATTATTTGACAAATAAAAATATTAGACAGACAGGTACATAGACAGGGTCTGCTTTCTTTCGGGAAAGGAAGCCTTCTAAATCAAACGACATGCAATTGACATTGTTTTATGTTGTCACCGCCACTATCCTAAACTACACGGTGAGAAAAAAAAAAGGTTAGCCATAAAAAAAAATATTTTTAGCGGTTGGTATAACGCTACTTGTGCAGAATGTGTAATATAAAAATTTGAAAAAGGACAAACTTTGTTCCTTGCAATTTAGCCCTCTGGTGCAATTTAAAAACGTATTTCCAAAATAGCCACCGCTTGCACAAAGGCCCATATGCATGAACCTATAGTTTGATAGCTATTACATGATAGCTATCATGCTACGTATCAGGCGAAGATCTATAATTGCCAGGTTCCGTATGCGAGAACAATTAATAGTTACCCATCGTGAGGCCTATTTGGATAGGTATCGTCATTCCTATTATGATAGGTATAAAATACTTATAATGATGGGTATTTGTGAATCTTCCAGATAACAATCTCCTATCCATCGGTTTCGTATCAAGCAAAATGCCATAGCTATCTGCTCGCATTGTGACTGACCAAAGTGTTTGTGGTTAATGGTTTTAATCTGACCCCATTTACCAGACTAGTGCTTGAATGTCAATCGACGCGACTGGATACATGGAACTCTAATATAATCTATCCAAAAATAGTTGCTCTTGGCGCAAGTTACGACGGTTCTCATAATTCACCGAGTTAGCAAAATGCACTGCATCCATCCTAGTAGCTTGTTATAAGCAGTATGAACAAGCTCTAGATCATAATACTTTAGATTGAGCGATTTTTATACCTATCTTGGTACCCTATCATGATATGTATAAAAAGTTTCCGCACATGGCCTATCAAGGCCTCAAACCTATCAAATTTATGCTACCCCCCCCCCCCACAAAAAAAAAACTATTTTATCAGTTTTTTACGTTCTTTCATACCAGCCACAGGCTCAAAGACAGGGTCACTACTGCCACAATTTGGCGTCGATAAACCCAGCCAACCAAGTTAATTCCATCTACTCCTCTTCGAGACCGCACTTGTGTTCCATGTGTTCACTGCATTTTTTCTCGCCTTTTCGACGCAATGCTGTGCGTTATTGGATGGAGCTAGAACAATGAAATTTGGTCATTTATTCAGAATTTCATCCCCTTTTGAATGTTTCGAAAATATTGATATGGATACTGTCATTTCTCCCGTTAAAAAAGTTTTTCAACTGTTTTTTTTTCCATCACCATGTATAACATGGTATCATGTGGAAGAATATGTTGAGGGCTGAAGAAGGGATGGTGCTAGTCTTGTAGAGTAAGGGAATGCAATGCAGCGACGTGTGCGGGTCCTCCAACATCCAGGCGCCTCTATTCATTCACACCCCCCCCCCCCCCTCCCCACTTAGAGAATAGAAAAAAGTAGGGTAACACTTGGAGAAGAAGACAAAGACAATTGCAAACGGTCCATACTTACAGTACGGATCGCAATTTAATTCCGAGATGAAGTTTTCCTTGGGCCTCATTCCTCTCCTTCATGTTTGCCACCTTCATGATGCATGTGATTTTAGAGGAGAAAGGGTATTCGATTTTTAAATGCTCCGAGTATTTCAGTCGATGAACGATCCCGGAGAAAAAAAAATTAACCCCTTCCCTCATAATGGTGTGTCCCGCCCTCCTGTCCTTCCCCAGCCATTGCTTGATTCCACTCTGGTTATGGTTTCGCTTGAAAGGGTCTGATCTGATATTCATCACACGCACTCAATTTTTTTAAAACCAAAACTGTACATATTTTGATGCAGTAAGTACTCATTTTTTCTTTAAAATTGAATTTTTTGGCACGGAAAGCTGTGGGAAAAAAAGTAGGTGAAGGGGTTAAAACTGTGAATCCCCGTATTCCTTCTTTCCCTAACAGCATCTGGACAAGATGCTGTTTCCAAGGGCCTCTTTGGTTAAAAATTAAGGAATTTTGTAATCCTTTCTTGAGAGGACGGCGAAAGATGTAGAACGGGTAACGTCATTAATGACATCACCAGGAGTTTAAAAACGCGAGGAGGGCGTCCAAGACGTGGAGAGGTTCCTCCAACCGTCCTCCCAAGAGGACGGTTGGACCGTCATTGCGACGCCAAGATCCATGAATCAGGAACGACATGATAGTCACGTGATCTTCAGTACAACTTCGTGTGATTAGTTTAAGTCAGTCCTCAGACGGTGAATGATTCACTCTGTGTTGTGGTGAAGCTAGCAACTAATCGAATCACACTCTAAAATAGGCATACATAAAATAGGGCATAAAATAGGCTTACCTGCTTCCCAACGAACCTTTGCTTAATATGAACCTTTGCTGGAAAACAGAAATTTACGCTTTTTCGAGATCGGAGGATGAGCTTACTGAATTTCAAGACAATCTGTACAACCCTGCCAGGGATATTGGGTATTTTTCCATAGAGATGACGAACAATGTGAAGTCTCCCTGTCTGTTGTCTCGTTCAGCTGAAAGCCTTGAAACTCTTCATGCAAGCCTATTGGAGAAACTGAAAAACAAGTGAAAATGCATCAACTTTGGATATTT